CTCTTTCCCAAAACCATTGAGGAAGGTAATTGTTATATTCTCCCCCTTCCATCCCCTGCTGCTCTTTGGCTTCCTACTCGCCTCATTTCTCTTCATGTGTGCATTCTGAGATTTACTTAATCTACCGAATTTGCGTGATTTACTAAATCAAGTTTTTATGTCCAAAATCGGAAAAATTTGGATTTAATCTCATTTTGGGTAGCTGTAACTGTTTGAAAAAGCAGTTGTGAAGCTGTTGCAGAAGAAACTGTTTTTCAAAAAGCTGTGGGGGCTATACTAAATTTTTTTTATTTTCAGAATGTTTTCTGGCAACCACCAAACCTTAACAAGTTAGGTTGAAAAAAATATTTTTTTACCACAGAAATTTCTAAAAAAAAAACATTAAGAAAGCAGTTCCTCATACAAAATTGTGGCAGCGGTCTTAGAGCAAAGCAGACAAAAAGTTGTACCTAACAGACCCTTAGTAAATCGGGATATTTAAGTTGTCCAAAATTGGCCATCCAAGAGGATTTAAGCTATATCCCGCATAATCCTTAAATCTGATATCAGACAACTCTTAAATCTTTCACAAATTGGTACTTATGGTTGGAAAGGAGTAAATTTTTATTGATGTCATTTAATCAGGTTGCAGTTTTTGATAAGTTTGATTGTTGTTACATCCATTCCCTCTAACTGCATTTGCAATTTTCCTTTGTTGATACTTGTAACATATGGGAAAGATCTTCAATGTTAACAGTTTTTGAAAAGATGGAACGTTATGTGCCCAATAGCACCCAGACATTGACAGTTCAAAACATGATTATAGTGCCTCCTTGAGGGAGGAAGTTTTGGGAAATTTGTTAAAGACCTGAGTTCCTATTTAATAATTTGAAGGCCTGATCTGACAAAATAGATGTGATTAGGGTTTATTCTACTTGTTTCAGCACTTACTTTGATTGGTTGTATATGGGGTTTTCTTGCGTTGGCTTGATACTGTCACAAGATGGAATTAACAAATGAACATGATCTACTTTGGGGTCCAATTTTGTATACGGGAGGCCAATTACCCCTTGAAATATTGTAAACATGTTCTGTGAGTACTCTAATTCGTGATTGAAATCTTGTCAGCCTTTTTCAGCTGACCTGTTGAGAGGGTAATTAATGCCATATACTATAGTTTATAATGGTTTCAAAAAAAGCTTTCGCGATTTTTTTGTTTGTGAGAGGCATTTTGCCATCAGCACGAAGCATGCAGAAACAACTAATGGACAATTTTACCATCTTTAATCGAAAGGTTTGCATCTCATAATACATTCCATAGGATCTTTTTGAATATGATCAGGTTGCACATCCCATAATGATCAGGATGAAGAGAAAAATTATGTCAAATGGGTTGAATGAGATAATGCTGCTTCGACATGTTTTTTTTGTACTTGATTTTCTTCATTAGGGGGGGTGTAAGTGACTCAGATGCCCTTAAGCAAAAATAAATGGGAATAGTTTTTACCTCTCCATCTGGACTTCTTGATGGCCTTTTCTTGCTTCACAAGTGGTCATCTGCTTGCATCTTTGAACCTCGGACACTTATGAAACTTAGTATCTGATGTGGACATGTTGAACATAACCGCCCTGGCATGGTTGGGATTGGTAATGATGTTGGATCTTGCTTTTTCTTGTTGTGCAAGCTTTACAATCTGTGTTTTTTTTGTCTGATGAAAGTATGTTGAGGAGTACAGTGGTATTGTGGAGATGATGGCCATGATGTGTTGCAAATTAGTGAAGCATCATATTGTTTCATATGGTGTGATTATTTTCTGAATACATTAGGTAGTATCACTAGGTAGTATTATATTAATATTGATAAAATCATGCCTATTGTCTATTGTTTGATACTAATTCTTGCGTGTGGTTGATAGATGCATTTGATGAACTATTGAATTTAATGATAATTAAATAAATGTTGTTTTTATTAAGACAATCAGTAAGTTTTTTATGACATGTATAATGTTATAGTTCATTGTGTGATGCACACACAATGAACTTTGATATTATTGTTCCTTGTTGATGCATTTTTATTAGAAATATTGACATTTGGTATTTTGATTTAATATTTTTATATTAATAATTTTTAAAAGAAAACATCATGTTTATGATGTCATATAATCTTTTTTACATTTATGTTTTTTATGTCATCTCATGCTCGTGTCTCATTTGATTGCGTGAGCTTTATTGGATGACGCCAAAAACGCTAATCAAGGCCTTTTAGGAGCGGAGTCCATGACATTTATAGCTTTCATCCAACTCTATGCAAGGGCATTGCAGCCGCCTCTAGTATAGTGGTCATTTTGGGTGGTGTACGGACAGATCTGCTTTTGATCATTGTAACCTATTCTGCCTATAATTGGGATACTAGGTAGGAAACATATAGACAGTCCATGATGGACTACCATTTTTGGCTTTGTATTTAAATAATGATTCATAAGTTCAAATCACATCTCCTGTCTCAATATCACTCTCTGTTTATTCCATAAACTATTTTATTATTAATGTATTTTGGTTGACCTTTCTACACTATTGTATCCTATGGCTTGTTTTATTTTATTTAATTTTCAAATATTATAGTTTCTTAATTTCCTTTCATCCTTGATTAGAAGCATGTGTTTTTCCGCTAATGCCTTGATCACAGACACATTGTATATTGTGCCGCTGAGATGATCCTATGGTACTCCCGGATGGTACACTGAATATTCTCCGAGTATTCTCATCCTTTTTACTTTCTTTTGACTTTTTATATATGCATGAGCTTTGTATAATTACTTTCCTGCTTATTTTCATAGCTTTCAGTTGTCTGATTTCACTTTCGTGTTTGTGTTGGTGGCAGAATTACTCGTCTATAATCAGTGTACATTCTAAAGTCATTGATGGGAGACCAGGAACTCTGGTGATTGAATCTTTTGTAGTGGATGTGCCTGAAGGGAACACCAAGGACGAGACATGCTTCTTTGTAGAGGCTTTGATTAGGTGTAACCTCAAGTCATTAGCTGATGTTTCTGAACGTATGGCTGTGCAGGATCAAACAGAACCTATTGATCAGTGCTAAGTGGTTATTGTTGGTGGCTTCATGAAAATCTGCATGGCTGCAACTTATTTGGCTTTCAGGACATGATAAACTATTTTTCTATCCGATTTCCTCGTTACTTTCATCATGAAATTCCTCCCACCCAAAATCCCCACGAGTTAGAAGTGAAATGATTTGTAGGAGAGAAGTGAAGAAAGAATCCTACGTCCGCATATACATCCTTAATGACCTTGCCCATTTTCATGTTTTCTAACTAGTCTCTTTTTTTTTTCCCAAGTGATCTTCAGATCAGTGTGCATACATAGAAGAACTCTGAATTTTCTTGGAGTTTGCCTGTGGGTAGTGGTGCTACTGTTGGCCTTTTTCTGCTACGATTTGCTCCTTTTGGTGTGTCTGTTGGCAGACAGCCAGAAACTGTACACTTTGTTATAAATAGTCAGAATGAATCTCATGCTTTGGATATTGGAATGAATTTCTTCTTGCAACCTTTTATTATTATTATTATTATTTGCTGTGCCTTTTGGTTGTAACTATTAAGATGACATGATTGATGGCTCCCAAGTGCCTTTTGCGTGCCTTCATTTCCTAATATTTAAGTCGAGAACGTGCATTTAATAAATGCTGTCTTTATGGTGGAGTTAATCATTTTATCTGGTATTACAGTGCTCAAATGGGAGTTTAAGATGATGCTCCGGTGAGCGGATGGTTGACATTCCTTGATGTCCTGAAGGTGTATTCTGGCTATGATCAGTGTTGGCAAATCTTGATACAAGCATAGGATGTATAGGGTTGGCGGGATAATGTGTTATGACATGATGGAATTGATGACCAAAAGGAGATGACGGTAACAATATGTGAAATTTATGCTGAATGTCATGAGCAAACCCAGAGAATTTATCACATGCATAGAATGATCGAATCAAAGAATGGGTTCTTTGTATGAGAAAATGAAATATTTATATACTTTGACTTGAAAAAAACTCTTAAAAGGAAAATATTCAAGATGAGGTCAAACAAATAGAGCACATCAATTATAAGGGGTTGTTTGGTTGGTTGAAAAAGGAATTTAGTGTGAAGATAATGCATTATATTTGGAATACTCTGAAGTTAATTGGTTCAATGAAAAATAAATCCTTGATTTCACATTTTTTTTTTGTTTGCCTCGAAGAAAAATAGAATTAATGTAAAATAAAATACATGATTGCGGGCAGCAATGGGGGGTGGGCGTTAAATGATGGTGGGTAGGGATGTTAACAATCTCATTTCAAGCCGAGCGGGAGTGGGCTCAAAATCGGACCTCAGATCGTTTATTTCGATCAAATCTCGATTCGAGCCAAAACTGGAATTAATTTTTGAGCGATTAATGATCTTCAAGCTAAATTTATTAAATTCATAGTCTTAAGGTATTAATGATTTGATTTTGAGCCGAGTTGCGATGTGCTAGAAAAAAATTTGATCAAAAATTTTCACTCATAGTTCGCCTGCTTATTTTGATCTCAACCGAAATTTGATTCGGGCTAAATTCACAACCCTAATGGTGAGCGGCGATTGGTTATGATGGCATACCATGACAGGTGGTCTACGACATGTGCCCGACAACCAATTAGAAGTCCATGAGCTGCAACTGCGACTAGCAAGCGATTGATGAGTGACAGGAGACAACGACCCAGCGACGGGCAGTGGTGGGCTGCAACTGGTGGGTTGGCATTGATTAGCCAACTGTGGTGTGCAATAACTTACATAATGAATTTAAAATACATTAACAATGAACAAGAGAATGGATTTCAAAAGCATTATAATTTTAAATTACATTTATAATTCATCAAACCAAACACCCAAATTTTTAAAACTGCTACAAAATAATTACAGTGCACTTCTCTTGCAGCAAATTGAATAACCCCTGAATGTTATAATAAGACTTAGTAGTTAAAATCTTCAAATTATATGCTCATAATTTCTTACTAAGGCAAGCGGGTCCAAATGAATTCAGATCACAAATTTTATTAATCTCCACCATAACATGAATTCTTAAAAAAAAGTGCTTATTAAAGTTTCAATATTTGATAAACTATTCTCCATCTTTTACGTAAAACTTATTAAGAATCAACTATGAGTTTCAATGAAGTCTAAGCAATGCCCAAACTTGACAATTGGTAATGTCTTAGTCATTATATTGGTATGTATCATGGCTATTAAGCTTAAATATAAAAATATTATGGCTATTAATCTTAAATAAGAAAATATTATCATGAATAATAACTTTATAAATAAAGTGATAATAAACATTGATATGTTTTATTTCTCGTGAAACATATGTTCTTTAATTAAAAAAGATAGCATCGAAATTTTCATGGATAATTTTGTGTTTAGTATTTCATTTAATAGTTGTCTCAATTTTGTTTTGATTTTGTAAGAATACAAAGAGACCTATTTTAAATTGAAAAAAAAGATATTTATTTATGGTTATAGAGGGCATAATTTTAAAGAATAAAATTTTAGAATAGAGGATTGAAAGAGACAAAGCCTAGATTTAGGTGATAGGAAACTTTTCACTACTAACTTTATTAAATAGAATTAGGAGTTTCTTAGAACATACATGGTTTTATTGAAGATTCATTAAAAATATTTTTTAAAATAATAAAACTTTGAAATCACATAAAAGAAAAGGACATAACTTATGAATTCAATCACAAATTCTTGAAGGCCTTTAAAATGTTAAAAAAATCATTATCTATCATAATAATACTTGATTGGAATCAACTTTTTGAACACTGTGTGATGCTAGTGAATATACTATGGGAGTCTGTATTAGGGCAACGAAAAGACAATTTTCCATATAAATTATTATGCTTGTGAAACTTTAAATGAGGCCTAAGTAAATTATATAATAACTAAAAATTAATAATTAATAATAGTATTTGACTTTGAAAAAATCATATGTTATTAATTGGATTAAAAGTGAGTATTTGTACATATCATGCTATATTTAAATATAGTTAAATTAAGAAGTATGCTAAGCCCAAACTCATCACATGTATCCTTATGTTGTGAGAAATTGATTTTTAAAATTCATGATAAAAATGAATAGAAAATTAAGTAGGGGATATGTAATAATATATGTTAATTTTTTTTAACTATCTTGTTAGTGATGTTCTACTACTTGATTTTTCATATAACAAAAAAAAAAAAAAAACACATATGATGTCAAGCTCTATTTCTTCAATGAGCTTTAATTATTTAAAATGCGTAGTTATCAAATCATTAGAAGATGTTTCCTCATGAAGAAAGTAGAGAGTATTTTTAGTCAATGTCATAATTCAAAATATAGAGGGCATTTTAGGGGATTAAAAATATTTTTAATAATTTTTAAATTGGATTACATATGCATACCCTTTTTAGGGATGTTCATGACTATATTTGGAAATATGATTGCAACATATCTAAAAAGGATGAAAGGCCAATGAATTATACATTAGAGGTAATAATATTTGATATATAAGGATTCTACTTCATGGTATAATTCATTCTCTCATTTGAAAATAAATAATTATTGATAAAAATAATCTGTACCTTTAAATGATGGAAAAAAGTGATAGTATAAGTTAATGTTTCGAATTTGATGATTAAGTTCTTAAGAAAAAAAATTTAACATATTAGAAAATTGAGAGGTTATTACAAGTGACAAAGAAAGTTATTCATATGATAAGATATTTTAGGCATTAGTTAAATGTTTCAAATTAAACATAAATTTGTAATTGTCCATCACTTTTAAAAAAGTGGACAAGCTAAAATTTGAAATATAGAGATTAAAAATATTTTAGAAAAAATAGTCAATCCATATATGAAAAATTTATCTTTAAGTTTAGATGATACATTATTGGCATATAGAGAAATATGTAAAATATTAATCGTGATGGCTCCTTATAGGTTGAGCTATAACATAAAACATTTTGGCAATTAAATAAATTGAATTTTAATTTAAAGCTTCATAAGAGAAAAAGATTACTAAAATTAAATGAATTGGACGAGATTATATTACAAGTTTATGCTAATGCTAAGATTTATAAGAAGCAAAGTAAAAAATGGCATGATAAAAAATTTATTAGAAAATAATTTGAATTTGGATATGAATTTCTTCTATTTAATTTGTGATTACAGTTACTTCTGGATAAATTGAAATCAAAATAACCAGGTTCTATCACAAGAATTAAAGTTTATCCTTATAGAGTAATTGATATTCAAAATAAAAATAATGTTTATATTTTAAGGTAAATGGGAATGGGCTTAAATATTAGTTGAGATGAGAGGTGAATTGTCATAAATTATTTGTTAGTTTGGTTCAATAGAAATTAGAACTTCACATATGGACTTAAATATTAGTGGAGATGAGAGGTGAATTGTCATAAAATAATTATTAGTTTGGTTCAATTGAAATTAGAACTTCACACACTTAGGTTGAGACTAAGACTTGTGTGGTTTTATATTTATGATTTTATTTATTTATTATTATAATAATGCTTGAAGAAGAGCATTTAATGGCCCACTGTTATTGTCATTCGGTAGGCTGGAGGGTCTTCAGTTGGCTGAAAGGTCTTCGGTCGACCTTCTCGAGAGAATCCTTAACAGAGGCCCTTTTGCTGATAGAATAAACCTAGACCATTAGACAGAGAATATATCACTATAACCTAAAATGTACTTTTTCTTTGGATTAGGAGCTTTCACAAAGGATTGGACAGATATTCAATGGGGTGCCCTTTGGCCATCTTTATGAAAAATCCCAAAATCAATTGAGGGAGCTGATTATAAATGGTTGTCCCTTGGATTAGGTGTTTCTTGTTCTTTCATTTGGATGTACTTTCGTATGGTTGGCCCATGGTTCTGACCAAATGAAACGATGCTTGATGTTTCTATTTTTTGACTTTCCCAATGCAATCCTTTGATATCTATTCAGTGTGATTCGTTGAATTTTCTCGAGATTCGTGCGATCATATTTTGATATACAGTAATTGGTTGCCAGAAAGGCCATTGGAATGACAAGGCTTCTGCCAAAGGTAATAAAAGAGCTAAGATCTAATTGTAATAATCACACAAATTGAAATATGCAATAATGAAGAAGTTTCAAAAAGCCTTCCATTGCACCTTAGAGAACATCACACCCTCAATTCCGAAGGTAGAATGAGGTCACAATAACTATAGTTATCTGGCTGTAACATATTGTCGAGTGTCAATTATGCATCACATGCACATATAAATTTAAATTAAGAAAATTCAATTTGAATCATCTTGAGAAGTTATGAAATTACTTATGGCTAAAAATCACATATTACAATTAAAAATTTTAAATTATTTTAAATTTTTTTCTTAATTTTTTAAAAAAAAAAAAAAAAAAAACACCCCAATTTAAAATTTTGAGTGATTCCAACTTCACTCGAACAAAATTTTAAGGCTCGCTCGGCCTCATCATCCCCTACCTGTGATATTCTGTCAGCCGCCGAGTTCCAATATGCTACAGCTTCCATAACCCAACTCCGCAGCTCGCCCTTATCTCAGTTGGACAAATGAGCCAAACATTCGCCCAAACTACTCAACGCTGTCTCCACTGTCATCGACTGCTTCCCTCCAATACCTAATGCTTGTAAAATGGAGCAGAGCCCTTTCTTTCTCTGTTAGGGTTTCTCTCCCCTTCTCATGCAGCCCTTACCCTGCTCCTAACTCTCCGATACACCTTTCGCCGGCCGATATTGAATCCCGAATCCGATGCTGCTTATCCTGCGGCATGATCGATGACGCACTGTCTCTCCTCATCCACTGTTTGGAAGCAGACCCTAACCCTCCATCCCTCCTCTCATTTAATCTCGTCCTCTCTTCCCTGAACAAATTTCGGCGATTCGATTCCACCATTTCGCTTTACAACTCCATGCGACGCTCTGGCGTGGCACCCGATGTCGTCACGCTCAACATTTTGATCAATTGCTACGCAGAATGCGGGCGCGTGGACTTTGCAAGGAAGGTGTTCGACGAAATAACGATGTGGTCTTATACTCCGACGATTGTTTCATGCAATACTCTGATCAAGGGTTTTTGTCGCATAGGTAGGATTGTTGATGCGTTTGGAGTTTTTGATCGGATCAAGAAGAATGGGCCAAGTCCAAACAGTAGAACTTTTTCGATACTTATTGTTTATGTTTGTAAGTCTTTGAATTCTGAAATTGGCTTGCAGTTGATTAATCAAATGCTGATTCTTGGTTTGGTTCCTAGCAGCATTACCTACAACTGTGTTTTGGCTGGGCTGTGTGCTGAAGGTAAACTGAAATCAGCTAATGCCTTGTATTCCAGGTTGAGAAAACTTGGAGTCATGCCAAATGTGGTTACTTGCACTGGCTTTTTAAGCAGTCTGTGCAGAAAGAATAGGCTTGCTGAAGCACAGATTCTTTTTTATGAGATGTTAGAAAATGGTTTGTTTCCAAGTGAGAGAACTTACTCTGCCCTCATTCATGGGCTTGCTTTGGATGGGCAGTTTGAAAAAGCTATAGAAATGATCGAGGAGATGCAATGCTGTGGACTCAGCCCAAATGTAATTACTTATACAGGAATTATTACATCATTTTGTAAAGAGGGGAGATTAGAGGAGGCAAAGAGGGTTATCGATATGCTAAAGGAAAAAGGATTACGCCCTAATGAGTTTACATACAGTACTTTGATTGATGGATTCTGTATTAAAGGAAGACTTGAGGATGCAGTTTCCGTCTTTAGCCAAATGGAAGATGAAGGAATTGTAAATAACATTGTTGCATACAATACATTGATCCGTGGATTTTGCAAATCAGGAAACATGGAGGAGGCTATGAAGCTTTTGCAGGTGATTGTCTGTAAAGGTTCCAAACCTGATGTTATAACTTATAATACTCTTATGGATGGATACTGTAAAATTGGAAATGTTAAGGCTGCTAAGTTGTTGTTATGCAGAATGGAGAAGCAGGGTCTGAAACCAAATGTGATTACATTTAACACATTGATGGATGGGCTATGTAGAGTGGGGGACCTTGAAAGTATGGCAAACTTGCTTGAGGAGATGGCTCAGATAGGGGTGAAACTTGATGTCTCTACTTATAGCATTCTCTTAGGTGGGATGTGTAAGCTAGGTAAATTCCATGATGTGGAGAATTTGATTCTTCACATGAGTGAAAATGAGATTGAACCTGATCTTAATCTGTACTCACATATGCTTGTTACATATTGTAGAAGTATGAGGTTAGTTGAAGCTAAACATTTGGTAATGCAGATGGAGAATAGGGGCCTACCTGTAAATATAGCTAGCTACTTCGCTATTCTGCAAGGATTTTGTATTAGAGGTGAGATTGTAGAAGCAGTTCAACTGTTGAAAGAAATTATTGTGAAAGGCATTGCCCCATCTTTCGTTGCAGTTTCTCTGTTGCTAGAATATGTCAGCAGATTTGGACAACTAGATAAGTTTGCTTCCTTGCTTCCGATCACAGAAGGAAAGGTTGGTGGCTGATTTCTCTGTGTTGAGGGGGATTTGTTGATTCTATAGAGCATCTTGTGTTTGATACAAATAAGTTTTGGCTCTGGCAATTTCCTTTTTGAATTGAAGTAACTTGATGTTCCAACATGGTTACTGAAGTTTTTGTATGCAATACTTGATTGGCTTTTAAATGGTTGAGCAGGTATTTTATATAGATGCAATAGCTTTCCATTTGAAATTTTATTTTTTCATCCTCAAAGGAGAGATTTTCTTATATTATAGCACTGCATTATTTAACCCTGTAGCCCCATTGGCAGCCGCAAGAGATTGGATCCTGACACATCTTATGAACAATGAAGATGATGTTTTTCACTTGGCTCATCACAAAACTTGGTGACATAATCAATGCAAAGTAAGAACTTCAATGCTCAGGTAAGGCATCCAATATAAACATGTGGTAGATTTATTAAATAAAGTCATGATATCTTCTATTTAATTATCTTATCAAAATCAATATTTTTTTTAATGGAAAGCCATTCTTTAATCTCAGTGTTCTCTTAGAGTTGCTTTCTTTCTTGATCTAAATTTTTATCCATGTGCTTTCTTACTTGTGTTTTGACACTACGCGTTAATCAAGCATATTGGCGTACACTACAGTAAAAGCACACACCGGAATTACCAACAAAAAAATTATTAATAAATTAACTTTGAATATTACGACTGATTTTTAGTCGGATTGTTTCAATTGAAATAGATATGAAAATTCTGTAGGTTCATGTCACTTGTCTATGACAATTTTTTCGACGAAATTTCAAACCAAAAATAGGCTGATAATCTATCAATTTTCCCTCCAGTTTCTCTTTTTTGTCATACCTGTTTTCCTTCCCTCATTTCTCTCTATTAGTCGGTGAGTTCCGTTCTGCACTATCGCCACCAAGTTTCAATTAAAATGCACTTTAATATCATTTTCTCCATTGAATTGAAGGTAAAACTCCTCGTTTAGCTTTATAACAACTATTTTGAGATTTCATCAAATAAATCCTATGTTTTGTCGGATTTGTACTTTGTGATCATTTTTTTGAAACAAATCTTAATTTTATTTAGGATTTATTTAAATTTTATTTATCATGCCCAATGTTTAAAGTTGCACAATTGTGTATTAAGATATTTTTAGCTTGTGAGGTGATGGTTAGCTTCAAAGTGATATGAGGCATAAGCCTCACAGTTTTACAATTACGTAAAATAAAAGGATAAAAATAATATATTAGTTTCATAACTTATAATATATATATATATATATATATATATATATAGTAAAGAAATACATTAACATTCTAGCATGGTAAAAATTGACAAATTGTGTTTATATGAGATAATCAATTACATAAACAATAAAATGTCATGTAACAACTTGCATACAATAAAAATATAATATAAACATCATCTAGTCAAGTCATCAAACAAACATAAAATATGTAATGAAGTAACATAAAATATCAAAGTAAGATATAAGATGAGTTTAACAAAGTAAATTTTTTTCACTCATATTGTCCAATTGAGATAATAACTCAGATTTAAATAAGAATATAATAAATAATCAAAAGCAGAAGCAACAAACCATAACTATAGCAAAAGGAGAAATTGGCGGTGCAGTGGTAGTAGAAACAATAAACGTCGGTGGCTTCAGTAGGAGCAACATGCAACTGTAACAGTAGTATGCGATTGTTGTAGCAGAAGAAGTGGTGGCGCTGCTGCCATTGGCGGCGGAAGCAACAAATGGCGGTGGCGGCTTTGGCGGCAGATGTAGCAAGTGGCAACGCTGGGAAGCTTAACTGGAGAGAGGGGAGCTCTTGCGTGTGTGGGTGCATCAAATTGCTTTCAAACAATTTAATATGGAGGGGAAGAAAACCTAAGCGTGAGAGGCTTACGCCTTAGTTGAATTGAGCGAGGTGAATTTCAACCAATGTGAGGTATATGCCTCCCCAAATTGCTTGAAGCGTACAACTCGAAGCATTTTTCTTCAAAATTGCACTAAGATGGGCCTCATTGAGTGCCTCAAATTGCGCATTTTTAAACAGTGATCATACTTTTTGAATGCATTTTGGGTTAGATCTTTCTATTCTTTTACTTAATTTTGTTAATTCCCATTAGGGTTTTTTTAGAAACTGAATTAGGATTTAGGGTAATATGGCAGCAGACTTTACAGTAACAATAGTTCTTTTCAAGCAATACCCTCCTTAGAGGGGGAAATTCCTTAGCAAACTTCAAATTAAACTCGACAACAGGCTCATTGGTCCTGTTTGTTTCAGACTCATCATTGCGACGACAACATTCCCGAATTTGGCTTCAATATCATCGAATCCTTGCCCAAACTTATTGACTGCCAAGTCAGACAGCTCGCTCTACAAACTCCATTTCGGCAGCGAAAAAAAAGATTAACTTTGGTGAAGACATTATCCCTGTAATTTGAAGTATTTCCGGAAGTCAATGACGTCCCGCACCTTGTAATTTCAGCAAAAGCACTCAAGTTAACGCACTTGTCTTATGAACTTGACATTCCTTGAAATTTATTCATGAGCATTTTGTTTCAAATTTTGCATTATGTTTGGAGTTTGAATGAAGGATTGTGAAAGTAAAATTCCGGTTTAACTTGTTCGCAACAAGTCAAACCCAAGGAGGAATGAAGCGTAGGACCCGATCTGAGATTTGGAGGGTTGACTTCGCATCGAACTCGCTTCGATAGGCCACTCTTAACCTGCAACACCTATTGGGGGTCCAACCTACACTACACCTTAAAGATTCTAGAACCCTTTTGTTGAAAGATGTTTAAACAGATAACTCCAAAATCCAAAAGAGTTGATTATACCTGCTTAAGAAAGAAATGAGCGAGGCATGCCAACGGAAGAATGTAACTCTGACCCATGGGGGACATGGACACTTTAATGATGTATGAAGACAAAACCTTTTGATCAAAATGGAGAGAGAAACTAGTTCCCAGCGGAGTCGCCAGAAATTATCGGTCAAATTTTTTTTTATTTTTGAAAATTGAAAATAATTTTGAAATTTAATTTAATATAAGAGGTATATAGTTTGAGTTTTGAAAGTAGTATGTTTTAATTTTCAAAAAATGAAAACAAATTGATCTCATTTGTTTAATAGTTTGCATAATCGTGTCTGATATCGCGAAGATTATATCTTCCCGAAAGCTAAGTGTATTCCGTGGCGATGGACCCAATTCTGCAAGCTAAAAGATTTGTGACATTCGTTTGACTTACGAATCTTTTAGGTGTGACTGACAAGTTCTCTTATTTAATATAAAGATTAAATAGAGTTTATTTTACCTGGGTTTCAAGTTTTCTATAAAGGCAAACTCCTACAGTTAATTACATCACAAATGACGGGGGTCACTTGAGAAATTTCTCAATAATAATCAGAGGTACTAGTCTTCAAGATTTTAAGGTTTATGTTTTCACGGTAGGACGTGAAAATCAAGTAGGAGTGACTTAAATAGAAATAATTATTTTTAAGAGTCCGAAGAAAGGAGAATGTAGGAGATATCACAGATTCTGAGGAGAAACCTCAGTGACTTCCCAAACTATCATAATGTGTGGCTGAGTTTTGAAGACAATGTTATTTAGGTGTTTAATGCTGCCAAATTTTATTATTTGAGATTTACATTTGCATAATATCTGATTATGAAATTAGCCCGCAAAGATAGAAGAGTTTACGTCGTACCGGACGACAACCTCGGAGCCTAAGATGAGTTAGGACTTACGTTGCACAACATGGTTGCACAGGAGCCTAAAGAAGGTGTGAGGATTTATGTCGCGCTGGGTGAGCTACCTCGAAGTCCTATGAGTTATTAGTTAGACTAAGGATAAAGAGATATTGTTGAAGAAGGTCCTCTTGTTGCTCAATCCAAGCTCCTTGCCGTGTTGCCCACAAAGATGACTCTAAGCTCCTTGTCGAAATAGCAGTCCTAAAGTCTAAGGTTCAAAATGTTTTACCAGGTATGTTCTGAAGTTTTGATTTTGTTGTTATTCAAGTATTATGAGGGGGATAAAGTTAATTAGAACGACACCAATTAGGATCCCAAGGTTCCCTCGTTCCGATACTACTATTTTCTTTTAAATTTTCTTAATTTAAACGAGTTGTTAAGCTCATTTAAACTAGGGAGATATCATTAGCAATTGTCGGTTACCTCATCTGAGGACTACCATAAATTCAAAATAACGTGTTATGTTCTTTTTTTATTTTTTTTAAAAATCTTGTTTAATTTTTTAAAATTGTTTTGTTTTGTCAATGAAATCGCAACCAGTGCCTGCATGATATATTATAACAAGAGTAAATTGCAGTGATAAAATAAAAAAAAATAAATAAAATGTACCTGCATATCTGACGTATCTGCTGCTGCTATCCCTGCTGTTTGTTTAACTCACAAAACATAATATAATTTGCAGGGAATTTAAATAAATTGCAGAAAGAAGAAGAAAAACAGTAAGCAACAAAACAAGTCGTAACAACAACGAGGAACTCTAAACAGGTGATCATAAGACTTCCTACAACTCCGGATAATAACTAGCAAGCTTGTACGGTGATCCTACGATCTTCTACTGCTCCGGGCAGCAACTAGCAAGAATGTACGGTGATCCTATGACGTCCTACGGCTCCGGGCAACAATTAACAACTCCGGATAGCAACTAGCAGCTCCGGAGAGCAATATGCAACACTACACAGCATTTGTATGACTTTCTACGAATCCAAACAACAGTATGGAACACTACACAACACTTGTATGACTTTCTACGAATCCAAACATCAACTAGGAACTCCGAACAGTGCTCCAACTTTTTCCTACGATTACGAACAACAACTAGGAAGCTTAAACGACACCCTACAACTCTCCTACAGCTCTCCCTCCCAACACTTATACAACAATGGACAACACCTCTACAATGATTAACAGTTTCCAAACAGACAGTTTTAGTAATGAACAACTTCCAAATAGCCACTTACAGTAAAGAACAACTTCCAAACAGTTCTCACAACAATTATAAACCTCGAACAACACTTCTACATTGATTAACAGCTTCCAAACAGATAATTACAACAAAGATCAACTTCCAATCAACACTTCTACAGTTCTCAATGACTTCAAACAACAATTTCGAAAATCAAAACACCACCTTGCAGCTCTCAAAATGACAGGTAAAGTGACACATCCACAAATGAATTAAAACTCATAGTGTTAGATCTAAAAAAATTCCCGAGGAATTGTATGCTGGATATGTAATTAATTATGTCCATGAACAAATACTCATCCGGAGTGCATAGCTATGACCAAACTTTCATCTATCAACTTAGAACCTTCAATGAGCAAAGAAAGATAGAAATCATTCCTCACTTAATTTTGCTTAAGCAAGATGTAAATA